GGAACAAAGGGCATTTCTACTAGGAGCAAGGACGCTACTAGTAACAAAGGGCCACAGCTCCACAACTAGTAGCGATGCCCTTTGTTACTAGCAGGAGCCCCTAGTAGCGTCCACTTCCCACAAACAAAGTGTTTGAAGTTGGTTGCCATGTTTGGAGCTTGAACGGTTGAATGCACGAAGGCCCGTGGAATGCGCACTGCCAATGACACCTGGGCCGCATTGGCAAGGCCTTTGGAGTCTTCTTCTCTGTAGCCTGACGAAGCTCGAAGACACTTTTTGACACTCTGAACTAAAACGCGCATGCAACAAAGGACTTCTTGGCCCCAAAGGACTTCTTCACATGAAAAGTTCACATGCAATGAGCCGGTTTTCGGCTCCAACTGCTTTCCATCCATGCTGGTCTTTTCCTACTAGGAGAAATAGGCATCGCTACTAGGAGCAAGGACGCTACTAGGAACCTTCTGGCCTTTTCCTCTTTTGGCTTCGGAGTTGATCTGCTCACTGCCGAGCTCATTTTGGCCTCGCGCGATCGTCGTGGAGATCGGGACGATTTGTTGGATCTAACGTAGATCCAAAAAGGCAAACAGATTGCTGGGTCCGACCATATCCGCAGCATGTGTGGTTACACTTTGCACTTTATGTGTGGTTTTCCTCCATTACTTTCAATGTCCTGCAGGTGTCAAGAATCAAAAGAGCTTTGTTTTGTCGCATGGACACGTTCTGCCTCATTCCGCACGCCCGGTAGGCCCCGGAGCCGCTGCCGCTGGGATTCGAAGACTCGCCGAACCTGTCAAAGCGCAGTGCACCTGGGTAACTGAGAGCGGGGATGTCTCCTTCCACGGTGTAAATCAAGCAAACTCAAAGAGTCTTTGACCGAACAAACTCAAAAATGACTTTCGCTACTAGGAACAAAGGGCATCGCTACTAGGAGCAAGGACGCTACTAGGAACCTTGTTACTACTGAGCAAATTTCATAATTTTTCTGCTTTTCTATTCTTCTGGCATCCCAGAAATTGATGGTCTCACTTCTTTCCAACGGCCTGTGGGCGCTTGGCTGTGCACACGGCTTCATGTACCTGGCCATGGCTGGCCATGGCCGGCCATTCGAAACACCAACGATGTGCCAATGGCAGAAGAGATGTGCCAAGACAACGCTCTTTGTTAGCGAAAAGTGGTGCAGTGGCAGCAGCTGGAGTCGGAGAAGTAAGGGGTAGCTAAGTCTAAGACCAAGGAACCACAGAAGGAAAAGGAATAGGAAGGACATACCGAAAGGTCTAAAGTAGAGGAGAACAAAAGGAAAAGAACTCCACAAAGAACATTATAAATACAAAATAACACCAAAAAGAAAACCAGAATTGAAATTCGACTCGACAGTATCCTTTGAAGGTGTAAAGTCCACCTTTCGAGCAATGGAGCGTCTTGGGAATCTGAGATTCTTCCTTTTCTTTCTTTTCTGCTTCGAGTACTGTAGCAATGGCCTCCAACCTAAAAGCGATGGCCTCCAACCTACTTTCGATGGCCTTCAACCTAGAAGCAATGGCCGACCTGACAATTCCCACAGGAATCCAAATCCTCCATCTTGGAAACCTGCTAAATTCTTGCCAACCCCAGGAAGAGTCAAAATGCTGGAATTTGAGGAAATTCACGGCGTCTGCGCATTCCCATGGAGAATGAATTCCCCGAAGTGATCACAAACCATCAACCACCAAAACCCTTTTTTCAACCGCTTGCTTTGACACAATTACAAAACAAACGAGTTGTTTCCAGGGTGAAAGTCTAGCTGACCAGAAAAGCCACAGGTAAAAACAGTAAAACAACACTATATTTTTGTGTCGTAAGGCATTCCAAGCCCAAGGCGAACCCGGTGGAAGCAATTTTGCAGAAATGATTCGCGCTATTCTATACGATCCTCCACTATTCTCCCAAATGTTCCAGACCTGTCAAATCATTGTTGTCGGGAGCAAGGGCACTTCGACCTATATGAAGAAAGCATGCTCTCAACCAACCAGGAGAGATGTCATGATGCCGATATTCACCGCTAGTAGGTTGGAAGCCATCGCTGGTATGTTGGAGGCCATTGCTATTAGGTTCCTTTTGCTACTGGTAACAAGAAGCTACTAGTAGCTAGAAGCTTCCTTGGGAATCGTTTCACTGGGAATCGTTTGCTATTAGGTTGGAGTAACGATGACACGATGCATCATGAGCTAGTAGTAACAAGAAGCTACTAGGGGCTCCTGGCCTTACTACTAGGAGCAAGGACGCTACTAGGGGCTCCTGGCCTCGCTACAGGACGCTACTAGGGGCTCCTGGCCTCGCTACTATGAGCAAGGACGCTACTAGGGGCTCCTGGCCTCGCTACTAGAAGCAAGGACGCTGCTCCTGGCCTTACTACTAGGAGCAAGGACGCTACTAGGGGCTCCTGGCCTCGCTACTAGGAGCAAGGACGCTACTAGGGGCTCCTGGCCTCGCTACTAGGAGCAAGGACGCTACTAGGGGCTCCTGGCCTCGCCACTAGAAGCAAGGACGCTACTAGGGGCTCCTGGCCTCGCTACTAGGAGCAAGGACGCTACTAGGGGCTCCTGGCCTCGCTACTAGAAGCTAGTAGAAAAACATATTCACGTCCCCATGACTTTCCCCGCGGCCTCAATTCTGCTGGCCCAGAAGGAGCGTCCGCAAGAGCTGCAGTGCTCCATCGGTTCGTCGGGTGCCTGAAACGTCGCTCCGTCGTTTGGAGGAAACGCGAGAATGACATGGACTTTTGTCTCCACTTCATACGACCCCATGAAGCCTGACAAAAACACATAGTATGAACATATTATAAACATAACTGTTCATTCTGCAGACAAACAACATCTTGAGCTGCAGGCAAACAGAAGAATACCTTTATCCTATTGGTACTTGTGCAGTTTCCTGCGAGGTGAAGGCACTTGTCCAAGGCCTCCAACCTGATGGCCTTCAACCTAATAGCAAACTAGTAGCTTCCTTGCTCCTAGTAGCGATGCCAGGAGCCCCTAGTAGCAATCATTGCTCCTAGTAGTAAGGCCAGGAGCCCCTGGTAGCGTCCTTGAAGCAAACTATATTAGACGTTTCTTCCTTTTTTTTCTTTGTTTCTACTAGCGGCGGCCTCCAACCTAAGAGCGATGGCCTCCACCCTAGAAGCGACCCTGTGTGAGAACTTCGCACACCGCGAATTGCACATCGTTCTTCAGCCTGTGCCCACTCCGAGCGCTCTTCATCCGGATTGTGGGGCTCACCTGGCGACGCACAGTCCGAATTCCACAGCGTGAACGTTGTGAACTTGAGTGTTGTGCACAGCGCTGCACAAACGTGGTCCACAAGAAAGAATGCACCCCTAGATTGAGCTCCGACAAGCAACATGTTGTGCCAACGGGGGGGTTAGCCCGCCGGCAACATATATCCGATCCGTTGACTAGTCTTTCAGGGTGGGGGGGGTGGGGGGGGTTGGGGTCAGTTTCGTCCGTGTTACTACTCGCGTACATCGACTTTGACGTTGACTTGTCGACTCGGTGACCTTTCGTTCGCTTGGTGACCGCTTTTCTTGGCTTAGAGGACATGACGGGCTCGACGTTCGAGGTGTGTTTTAACACTGCGTATGGGTTTTCTTGGCCGTTGCGATGCAAAGCTGCAACGACAGCACGTTGAAGGCCTCGCAGCGTTGTGGTTCTGCCAACATCCTGGGTTGGACTCAATGCTCGAGGCTGTCAGAATACATAGAGAAGCTGAGAAGCTGTGCAAGACACTTGTCCACCAGCTCAAATGTGCAGTGAGCTCAAATGGCTCAATTGGGAACAAGACTTATGTCCGGCGGCAAAAATGAGCCTTGGCAAGCTGTACATGGAGCAGGCGGGTGAGTTGGGTCCGTCAAAACGCATTCAACTTATCGTCTTGCAACTCATGAGTTGCAAGACGATAAGTTGAGTGTCCGGAACGCCACGAAGCCCTGTAAAACACAGGGCTTTTCACCCTCGGTGTGTTGCGTTCGGGGCTAACCCCCCCGTTTACCCAACATGTTGGACAAACATGCTACCGGTCTTTCTAAATTCATGTCTTAAGACCGTGGATGTCAGTGTGTGGAGACATCCTGGATGACAGTATGTCAATGTTTGATCTTGGTGGACTTTGTCCACACTTAGCTAATCTACTTTTCTGTTGCTGTTTGATCATTCTTTCGGTCAGTCATGTTCTTGATGATTGCTTTACACTGTACGTTCCAGGCTAGCAAAAACAAAGGTGTGAGCATGCCCGACACAAGCCCTGGCCCGGGGACTCTCAAATGAAGCAAAGTAGCAAAGGTCAAGGTACACGCTGCATTCCGACGTGACAACAAGTGAGGATGCATGTCAATGTATGTTCACTAAATGTGAAGTGAACAACAGGACGCTACTAGGGTCTCCTGGCCGTACTACTAGGAGCAAGAAGCTATTAGGAACAAGCTTACTGAACAACAGGATGGCAGGAAACCAACCTGCCACGCTCTCCCTTGCTCATGAGAAGCTTTCCATGGGGTCCACGCCGGTCTGGCCTGGATTTCGGACTTCGCCTCTAGAACTGGATGTGGACGCTGATGCTGAGCCAGGTGCCTCAGCGAGGTTTCAGAACCAACAGGCCTCATGAAACATCGAAATCTGCTTCAAACAGGTGCCATCGCTACTAGTAACAAGTGCATCGCTACTAGGAGCAAAGGACGCTACTAGACCCTCCTGGCCTTACTACTAGGAGCAAGGACGCTACTAGGAACAAGTGCATCGCTTCCAGTAACAAGTGCCTTACTAGTAGTAACAAGAAGCTATTAGGAACAGGTGCCAGGATTGCAGGAGTCACAGGAACACACCTTCCACCCTCAACACCAAAGCACGAATAGAGCCCGAGAGAGTGTCACTGAGCTTGAAGCTTCCAAACCCTTGAGAAAGCGATCAATCTCTTCCATGTCTTCTGCTGCCAAGGCCCTGCAGTTTTGCTTCAAGACATTCCCAATGCAGCATATGCCATATGCATGCCATATGCATGCCATATGCGCTTGTCTCAGTCAATTGGGGAAACTCCCAAATGTCTGATTTGTACCTTGATGCTCAGCTGTTGCATGGGAGTTCTCAGAAATAGGTCCGGATTTGATTCGTGCCTGCCACATGGCAAACCTGAGAAACATCGATGGAGCCACTGAACAGTTGGTAACGAGTCTTCCAAATGCACAAATCAGTTGGTTTTGTTCGGTTTGCCGTTTGTAAACTCTCCAAGAAACCCTCGCAGGAAGCTTGCCATGCCTCAGGGAAGCAACGATTGTGTAAGCGAATGGTTCACCAATGCTTCACAAACTTGGTGCTTTGAGGAGACGAATCCCGAATCCTTTTCTGATGCTGTAACACTTGTGGTCCGGAACCCATGTGCCATTGGGAACTAGAGATACAACTCACATCGTTGACATGTCATTTCCTTAGTGAGATCTGCCGCTTAGGTACAGCCACTGACTGTGGCCAATGGTTGAGTTCCGGCCGCCAAGCTGGTAGGGCCGGGGATTCGGCCCAAACCTGGAATCGTGGTGCAATCCTTACTGCTAGGAACAAGAACGCTACTAGGAACAAAGGGCATCGCTACTAGGAGCATGGACGCTACTAGTAGCTCCTGGCCTTACTACCAGGAACAAGAAGCTACTAGGAACATGTCAAAGTTGGAGGTTCCGATTTCAGCTCACGTGACCCTGGTAAACTTGCTGTAGTCTGTGCTCTCTCAAACTTGAACATCAATGTCACCGCTCCCTCTCTCATTCTCTCCCTCTCTGATTCTCCTTCTCTTTCTCCTTTCTCCTTCTCTTCCATTTCTCTTCTCTTTTCGCTAATATTCTTCTCTTATTTCTCTTCTCCTTCTGCTCCTCCTTTCTCATTTCTCTTTTCAAGAAGCGCTGAGAAAAAACTCCGACTGTGCAATCCAGCCTGTGACGACTCGCGCTCGCGCGGTGTGCACAAGCCTGCCACTCGACAAGCAATCTTTCTATTCCTAGGCCCCTAGGCCAAGTCAACTAGAAACGTGTAAGCGAAGTGGGCAGTCCTTGTAAGGCATCAAATACCTGTGACCAGGTCGATTCAGATTTCGACAGAAGGCCAAGCAAACAAAACAGAAGTTTTCTTTTTTGGGCACGCGGACCTGCCTCCGCCTACTTAATTAAGGGAGTAAGCTACTAGCTACTAGCTAGCTTCCAGTAACCGGACGCACGATAGCTCACGCACTAATGCTTTGGTTCCTAGATTTTACAAAAATATTAATCCAGAAGGCTTCGACCACGGCAGCTGCGAAGCAAAGGTCCAAAAGGGAGAATGCCAAAGGTCAAAGAAGGACAGGAAGAGACGAAGCGACAAAAGGCAAACATACTAAAAGAACGGAACAGCAAGTGTAACAAGTCACAACGAGAGTCAAAAAAGACACCCTGCCCTGACCTGTGGAGCCATGTGGAGCCCTTCTAAGTGCTCAGAATGAAATACAAACGCTTCGGCCGTGCCATATTGTTGTCGTTGATGATTTAAGGCCACACAGGCTACTGCAACCAAGTAAGCAAAAGCTGCTAAACTTCTGATATGGTCAAGTCATGGTCAAGTCACATTGATGGAAAATAGCTAAATAACTACCCAGTCTTCTTGTGACTTTCCATTTCCATGCAAGCAAATAATAGAAGCAGAAAGAGCTTCGGACAGCATAGCTTGCCTGACAAGAAACTCAAGTCAGCTCATGGAAAGTCTGTCAACATGTAGCGCACATGAGAAACGTGTCTTTGCCAAGCAAACAGGGTCAGTGTCACCCTGAAAGACATGCGAACGGAGCTGAGCGTTGTGGTGGGAGATGCAAACGACATTCCCCGATGACTGTGAACGACTCGTGACTCGATGTTTATCTCATTCGATTTCCAGCATCTCCTAACTCTGACCCGACATGCAGCGCTGCTTGCTGCTCGTCAGGAATCTGGAGAACTACGGATGTAGAAAGGTGGAACGTGACAGGGTCACAGTCCGAACTGCAGGAAACGGGGCGGATTCAGGACAAGAGTTGGTCAAGGTATCCTGCAGTGATGCTGTTTCTGCACCCGCCCGCACTGCACACTGCACTCCAGGAGAAGTCGTACGCCATTGGCGCACTTCTCGACCTTTCAAATTGAAAACTGGCATTGAATTGTGAGTCGGCCTTGGGCTATGAACCGACAGCAGAAAAAGTGGCAATTGCTTTGTTGGGGTGGAAAAGGCCAACTACATGACTGGCAGGTTATTTCTGTATCTAGATGCCAGGAGCCCCTAGTAGCGTCTCTAGTAGTAAGGCCAGGAGCCCCTAGTAGCGTCCTTGTTCTTAGTAGCGATGCCCTTTGTTCCTAGTAGTTTCTACCTACCCGATACGCTTGAAGTCTTCTCTCAGAGCCAACACTGACCCCGCTGCAAGATGGTTCCAAAGCGGCCGGATCTTATGGAGCACTTCAAACGCTCAGGATTGTGAGCACATGCCCTGACTCTGTCAGGCAACATGTCCCAATGAATTTTAGACCCTGACAAGTCTAAAACACTCGAGAGAAACTTTGTTGCCTTTGCGGTCTGCATGTGTCTATTCATGGTCAAGTTTGCAAGCGTCAAAGCGCGCAAATGCATCTTTTGGGTGCACAACGAATGCACAAATGTGTTCAATCAAACATCGGAGATCTTTGCTCAGCAGAGTCTATGAAAATGGAGATTCCTATGGATTGCCGAAGCAATGAGAGTTCAAGAGATTGATCTTCGCCCGGACGTGGCCATCGTTCTGAGCCTGGAGAAAGTAGCAGAATTGCTACGTGTACAACGTGTTGACCCTGAGAAAGAAAGGTGAAGTCATCTGAATCTCGACGCACTGAAGCCAGGTTGGGACCTGGAGATGCTTGGTATTTTCTTTTACAACTACATTGCAATGTATTGCATGGTCTGCATGATGATCTATTAATGAGCACAATATGTTTGTATATCAATTCTGCGTGTGGATATTAATCAGCTTGATGTGAGGTCAAGTTGACTACCCTTTTCTCCCACATGTGCTGCAGGGGCACGCTTCCCTTTTCCTCTGCACAACGGGAGTCTTGAGCCAATTTGGCAATACACGCATGAAGTATGCTGTACATATACTGACTGTGATATCGTTCCACTGCTGTTGACACCCCCCATGTGACAAACGCTGTCAGCATTAGTCACACTTGAAATTCAAGGGTAGCGAACTATACACAGTGGTTTGCTATTTGGTTGCCGCGAGACCTACCGAAGTAGACTCATACTACACATCACTAAAGAAACTAAGCGGGCTTTACATATTTATTCAGCGTGCAAGTCATCCCGCAAATTGTCTATAGAATATAATTAGTGAAAACCGACAGTGAAGGTTTTTTGCCTCGCTCAGAGCCCACTCAGTACTTCTCCTCGCTGATGTAGATTGAGCTACATACCTTCATCTGTAGAAAGTTCACGTGTAGATACTCTTACAGCTTCAAGGTCCAGCGTCGTGCGCTAGCCTTGCTCACGCCAGGTATCATCATCTTCTTCATGGTCTTGTTCGCCATGATCTTCCGCATGATCTTGGTCCCACTCTTGCCAGCTCCTTCGCGCTGTCCTGAAATTTGAGGTCCAGTATGGCTCATTCCAGTATCCTGGATCACGTCGAAATCGTGGGTTTGTCCATACACCGTCACGAAAGGTTGCGTCGTGGCTGTTCATATGTTCATCGCTGGTGGCTGCCAGTCGCGAGCATATCTGTTTGTTTGTTCCCATGTTCGTCGACCTGCGTGACCATAGATCTTTCCTTTTCCTTCTCCTTTTCGATCACGATCTCTGTTGTACGTTTGAGCACGATAGCTTGAAGAAGCTGCCTCTGTCTGTGGTCTTCCACCTTCAGGAGCGACCTTGTGGTATCTATCCATCAGCTGCTTGATCTGTTCTTTGTCCATGAGGCTTTTCCATCGCTCTAGTGCTTGTGCATCATGATGACTCGTCATCCTCGCCAACTGCCTCTTTGCTGCGGGTAGAAGGGTAACCTTTGCTTGGTCCATCACCAGAATCATCACGTTGTCCCACTTGTTTTGAGCTCTGGAGTATAGGATATGTAGAGGATTGATGCACTTATGCATAGAATTGTCATCCAAGTCATTCCTGAAGTAGGAGTACGAGTTGACACTATAGATTGCACTCATGCATTTTCTGATCAACCTCGACATAGATTCCTGTTTTGCCTTCTTGCTGGGTTCTACCATCTCTGGTCTTGTACCCGGTGGTGGTTTGTCTGTCTCGACAAATTCCTTCTTGAAGCTTTCTGGTGTGTACCCGAAAGCGATCGCTTGCAATGCGAACGTTCCCAGCATTTGTTCTCCTCTGAACATGTGCCATGCCTCTTCCGTGGTGACCTCTTTCCAATCTGCAAATTCTTGCATTTGTTTCTCCGTCGGGTCTTTGGGCATGTCATCGTCATCGAACCCATTGTGGACCCCACTGGTAAAGTCGGACATTGCATCCGATCTTTTCTTTGAAAAGAGTTCACGGAATTTGGCGATGCCAGTTTGATGATAAGATGTATACATCGGCTTGATGATTTGCGCCAGAACATCTATCTTGACGGTTTCCTTTGGTTTTCTTATGTTTTCTTTCACTGATGTATGCGCCAGTGTCTTCTAACTGGCTTCAGAGTTGTAGTCCAAGGCCAGGGTGCATCTAGAGACAAGAGCTCCAAACTTTATCCATCACTTCTTTGGGATTCTTTGGGCGTGTGGTTGGATTTGGTGACTTCATGGTCAGTCAAGAACGATCCTCAGTCCTCCATGGTCTGCGGAAAAACAGCTTCTCGGATGAGCAAACCGATGGTAAGCGCATCATCACCAATCATTAGTAAGTCCGGGCGTTGCCCGCGGAGTGCCCCACGCATCTGGAGAAATTCTGTAAGATGGATTGCCCAACTGCTGCCCAAACCGCGGAAATAGAATATCGCGTCCCCCCTTTTCACAACGAATTGTTGCACCCAATTCCCATCCTCACAACAATACGATAGTTATTCAGTGACAACCCAAAACTCACCCGTTGACCCAGAACAAAAAGTATTCCAGAACAGCACGTCTAAATTGCTAAACTCTTAGAACAACCGCACACTGGCCATACGAGTCACAGCAGGCCACGTCCCCTTTCGGTGGCGCACTGCTTGTCCAGAGGGATGGTTGCCACTGGGCCAGCCTTGCGAGAGCGGACTGGATCGGATTGCACGGAGCAAATCTGAGTAGCAAGACGCAGGAACCGTTGGGTGAACGTGGAAAGACCCTGGAGGTTTACACCGTTGAATTTGAGTGAGTGGCTCTGAGATTCAACTTTTTGAAGCATTAATGGATCTCTCCCGTTTCTGGGTTTAGAATCTTTCCCATGACATTCCCAAAACAAACCGTCCTCACCGCCTGTTGAGTTCCTTCTCGGACAAGCGCTGGCGAGGAGGAGATGGAACCATCTCCATGTATCGGCGGTTGGCCCATGACAACACACAGTGTAGACATGCAAGTCGCGCGGAATATAAGCCCTAAGTTTCCAAGACTTTAAAAAAAGGTTGACTTAGTGTTGTAGTGTAAAATATGTTTGTAAAACAATGGTTGTTTGGTGCTGAACGGGGAAGAGAGAAGACCGTATAGTCTTTTTGAAATCTCACTTGAAATCGCACTAGTCACTAGTCGGTGGCTTAATTCGGAATTGGCGCGGGCCTTAGTTAGTTGTAATAGTTTTTGGTCAGTTCCGTTTCGGCCTCTCCTTCACAGCGCTGTATCTCGCTTTGCTAGGTCAGTGACTTTCCGACTTGTGCAGCTGTTTGGTAAAGGCTATTGAATTAATTGTGGTTGGAAGCCCAGGGTAAGCATCATAGAATATATAGATGAAGATGAATGAACTTTAAAAAGTCACGTCCCATACATGTCGATTCTTGAACATCTGACCTTGACCTATTGGGTATCAGAAAGGGCATGGCTGCACCTGAAGGATACATCAAACAAAACTGTTCTTGAAAACTGATCCTCATGGTGCCTTATCCAGGCCAGTGAAGGCCAAAACGTTTTCTGGCCTCACCACCCACCGCTTCCACGTGTCAAAGAAAGTGCGACACTCTTGTAGGACACTCTTGTGGGACACTCTTGTAGGGCACTCTTGTGGGACACTCTTGTGGGACACTCTTGTAGGAAACTCTTGTGGGACACTCTTGTGGGACACTCCTGTAGGACACTCTTGTGGGATACTCTTGTGGGACACTCTTGTGGGACACTCCTGTAGGACACTCTTGTGGGATACTCTTGTGGGACACTCTTGTGGGACACACTCTTGTGGGACACTGTTGCGGGACACTCTTGCGGGACACTCTTTGTGAGACACTCTTGCGGGACACTGTTGCGGGACACTCTTGTTGGGACACTCCTGTGGGACACTCATTTTGGACA